GTACCCCCAATATGTTTTTAAAATAAAAAAATCACAATAAAAAATATTAAACATAAAAAAATTGGCATTACTGCCTGAATTGAGCTGATTTGGCGTATGATTTCCACCACAAGATATGGGAGTATACACAATTAGGCACCTTGGAGAATTTCTTGTGTTCCTGGCTCCTAACTTGTGTATTTTCCCATTATGTAGCAGCAACTCAATTTCCCTTTGCGAACCATGATGACACATTCTCACCAGCACCTGTTTCTTTGCCACTTGATCCAAAGAAGCAAGTCTGAAATTTTAGAAGAATTGATTCTATTAAATGTACTAAAAGATTGAGTAGATTGTTATTGGGTGGAAGTTTTCTCTTTGTGGATTTTTCCCCCCATGATAATGTAATCATAATTTGGGTAAAAATTTGCAAGGCATATGGTTTTCCATTCAACAATTATGCACATTTTGTTTTGTGACATTACTTGCAATTCCTTCACTACAGTAGTACTCTTCTGATTTCTTCCCTGACTTCTTGGCCCCATTAATTCTTTCCTGCTCCTGCTGCTTTCCCGCTTTGTTTTTGAGCACTTATTTCCCTTCTGGGCTTGTATGGCTTATTGTTGTTGTTGTTGTGTGCCATCAACAATACTGAGATATAAATTCCCCTCTGTTAATATGCACTTTGTTTGTTGTTGTTGTTCTTAATGTGTCTTCAGGTTGACTCTCGTAGTGACCCTATGAACAACAGCTCTGAACCCTGATCTGTCTTGAGCCAATTTCATTGTCTCTGACACACCTAAACCCTCTCCCCCATTACCCCAGTCACTGAGTCAACCCATCTCATCCAGGGTTTTCCTCTCTGGTGCTATCCCTCCAGTCTTCTGAGCATGATGTCCCTCTCCAAGGACTGGTTCTTTCTTGCAATAGGCCCAAAATATGTGAGACTGAGCCTTAGAATCCTTGCCTGAAGGAGCAGCCTGGTTTCACCATCTGTAGGCAGACCTGTTCTCTTAGCGATCCTTAGCACATTCAATATTCTTCTCCAGCACCACAACATTCACTTTGTAGGTCTGTCTATAATTTGGGAGTTCAGCTTGGGGCTTGAAGGTACTCCAGGTGCCACAGGCACAATCTCAGAGACAAGCAAATCTGTGTTTTTCTGCTTTCCATTTTTGTTCTACTCTTTTTCTTCCCTCTTGCTTCAGTACTTTCTATAGTGATTCTGATCATAACATTTGATTGTGTTATTTGATCATAACATTGTGGTTCTTCTGATCTCAGGCTAGTGGAAGCTGTATTTCTCTGGCTCATTATTCGTCTTTTGAGCTCATTGTTTCCTTGACCCTTTGTTTTCCATCAATCTTCCCTGATTCTTGTAGTTACAGTATTTTAAGATCCCAGTCACTAACTAGTCACCAAAGTTGGGTGGAGAACATGGTCTGTGTTAACTGCATTATGCCGTTTAAACTTGATGTCTCTCCAAGCCCAGTGACTTGTTCCTTCAAGGTGTTTGATTATCAAGGGAATGTTTTCTTAACTTTGCATCTTGTATGTTCCATAATATTCTTGGGTATATTTGCAGTACACATGGATACCTATGTAGAAATATGCTCTGCAAAAAGAAGTCTCAGTCTTGATTGTAGGTTTGAGCCTGCGCTTGATGTTGTTGTTGTTGATTGCTGTCGAGTCAAGATTGACTCATAGCGACTCCATGAACAAAAGACCTAATGTCTTTCCATAGCTATCATTGTTTCTCCAAGTTCATAGAGTTTCCAGAGGCATGTGGTTTAGGAAGTGGATGCCACTCCTGCTTCCAAACCTGTTTTACAGTTGGGAGCGCCACCAAACACTGTTCACAATAGGAAACCATTAAGGTATTTGATATCACCATAGCACAAGGTTCAGTATCACAGCAAACCCAGGTTGCCTCATACAGCACATTGACAAAGAGTACAATTAAATAGCATTGTTATTGTCTTGCTCTTTAAGCAAGCTCTACTTTATCTTCTTCTCTTGATTGTTTGCTCTGTGAACTTCAATTCTGACATCATATCCAAAAGCAATAACCTGAGAGAGCTTTCCAGCCACCTTCCACAACTATGAAAATCCACATTCTTGTAATAAAATCCATTCTATCTCATAGTCTCCCGTTGTCAGCAGGTTGGAACTGACGGAAAGCTGACCCTCTAGTGAGTTGTCAGAGACTTGCACAGGAGGAGACTGTCCATCTTTCTCTATCTAAGCCATTGGAGGGTTCAAACAACAGAAAGGAGCAGACTTCAAGTTAAAAGTGCAACTTCCTCTGGACTGTGCCACCAGAGTATGGATCTTCTGTCTTCCATGGTGATTAAGCTATCTCCCCTAACTTAACTCTGGTAAATACAAAAATCTGAGAGAAGACACCACTATGGTTTATAAGTTTGAAATGTAATATATATTCTTGAATTTCAGAGTAATCATATTAATGAAGAATGGGTTTTATGTTCTCTCTTATTTTTAAGGTTATTTTCATGACTGACTCTAAATAGCTAGAAATAGGGGGAAATTCCACTAATTATCTCTTAGATCAAAAGATGACTATTGACAGGTATTGCTTCAGTATTTCTGATATCACAGTCTGTGCCCACTTCCTATCTCTCTAGGAACTGAGGAAGGAGCTATGTGGCAGGGGAATCACACCTCTCTGGAAGACT